TCCAGTAACTCCTAGCAATGCCCATATGTAACCTGGGCTGCTGTTTTGTGGGAGGTTCTGAAGGGCAGCATGGCTTGAGTAAGGCTTTAAAAAGACAAACCAGCAACGAGAGGAAAACTTTCCAGCTGACTTGCAAGACTTCTTTCTTTGTCGTTACAGGAATGGTTTCAGACTTGCAGGTAGCCAGCAGTTCTCTAGGATATTATTCCCACCAAATATCCTTCCTGGGAAGGAGTTGAATGGGTTTAGGTTTGTCGCACAGTCAAATTATTCTTACTTTTTTATTGCTAAATATTCACCTCAATTTTGAAACTTAGATTCTTGTCTTTTGCAGCAAAATTAATATTTCAGTTATACTCTGATCTTCCAGGATTAGAAGGAAAAATCCTCTAGAAATGGATTTCACCCTCTTTTATTCCTGAGGCTTGAAGCACTGTAGGATTTTTTCCCTTGCATTTTTACTGTCAGGCTTTATCCTGGCTGCCTCTTGTTGACCTCCTCACCCCTCTCTATTTCTGCAGAACATCTTAGTCCCATCTTCTCCCTCTGTGCTGCTTTTTGACTTCCTGATACCGAACCAAAGAGCTCCCCTAGTCAGAAGTTGCCTCCTTGTCCTTTCTCGTGCATGTCAAGCCCTGGCTTCTCAGCCACATGACAAGCTCATTCCCATTGTTCAGACAGACCTGACAAGTCTCTCTTGGGTTTGCCCAAAGCTCTGCTCACAGCAAAGTGGCTGATGAGCAAAATGCTTTTTCAGGTGGGAGCTGAAGGCTTTTGCAGCCCTGGGCACATGCACAGGATCCAGGCTGTGCTGGCAGTGGCTGGTCTCAGCCTGCACCCGCCTTGTTTAACCACTTGTTTCTAGCAGAATAATTAACTTGGGCTTGTTCAGCATCCCATCAGGTCCAGAACCAGAGCATTTTTCTGAGGATAATTTCTCTTGTGTATAAAAGCTGTGTGGTGGGTCTTGGTTGTGTGTTTTCTCTCCATTTATAACTGAGCAGCTGTGGTGGGACACAGGGAGCAGCACTTTGTCCCCTTCCTCCAGCGGGCACTGCAGATAAGGAATGATGCTTCTGCTGGGAACAGGGGGAATGGCAATGGGAATCAATCACTAAAGAGAATCTGAGAGGGCTTTGTGCCCTCAAATCTGAGGGACCTGATAATTGCTGCCCAGACAGAGTCTCTATTGCTGTTTGCTGCAGGCTGGGAAGAGGTCTGAGCAGCTGAGCATGGATTTTCCAGGTCCTTGTGCAGCTGAAATAACCCCTTCACCTGCAGACCTGCTGCCTGCTCAGCTGGGGCACTGCCTGAGAGGCCACCAGGCAAAAAGCCCCAAGCTCATCCTGGGCAAAATGCCTACGATGCTGGGGACCGTGGCTCTGAGCCAGTGAAGGATAGTGTGGGATGAGCAGATGCAGCATACATGCAGCTCTCTCTACTAGGAAGAGAAAATAAGAACTTGCTTTTCTTGGGGAAGAGGTGCCAAGTGGCAGCGGGATCGGTAACCAGCCTTCTGGCTGTGCCACCCATTTGGGTCTTGCTGCTCAAGTTGCTCCTTTCCAGTGGGGAAAAAGGATTAAGGGACTGGAGCAACTCTGGGCTGAGGGAAGGCCGAGAGCCCTGGGGCTGCACAGCCTGGAGAAGAGATGGCTGAGAGGGGATCTGATCAATGCTGATCAAGAGCTAAAGGGTGGGGGGCAAGAGGATGGAGCCAGACTCTTGTCAGTGGTGCCCAGTGGCAGGACAAGGGGCAATAGGCACAAACTGGAGCCCAGGAGGTTCCATCTGAACAGGAGGAAAAAATTCTTTGCTGTGAGGGTTGCCCGAGCCTGTCACAAGCTGCCCAGAGAGTCTGTGGAGTCTCCTTCTCTGGAGAGTTTCCAAACCTGCCTGGATGTGATCCTGAGCACCCTTCTGTGGGTGACCTGCTCCAGCAGGGGGGCTGGATGAGGTGATCTCTAGAGGTCCCTGCCAGCCCCCACCTTGCTGGAATTCTCTATACTTGCCTGTCTCAGACCTGCTCCCTGGAGAAGGAAATTGAAAGGATTTAAAATTACGTTTAAACTATATCTTTCTTTAGAGCTACCAAGAGCAGAAACGGCATGGTGTGTCCCTTCCCCTCACAAAATAAGTCAGTGCCCTCTGGTCTTCAGTGTGGCTATAAATATCCTTCATTAAAGCTTGTAGTGACCTGGGCACTTTCAGTGAGGTTTCCATGGCTCCTACCGTGGGCACTGAGTGGGGCTGCTCACAAAAACCTCCATCCTTTCTGCAGTGGGGGCTGCCCCTGCTCCCATCCACCTCATCCCCTCAGGAGGTTTCTCCAGCAGCCAGGCTTGGCTGGCCCTGCTTTGCAGCAGGGTTTGGGCAGCACGCAATGGTATTTGCCTTCAGTCTTTAGGTTTAAAGGTGTTCAGGGGTCAGGTGTTGAATAGTTTTGGGTTTTTCTCGTGGTGCAAGAAAACAAAGCTGGTTTCAGGTGGGCACCTAGAAACAGTGTGGAAGGTGCCAGGGCAGGCTGCAGCCTTTTCCAACCTTAGTTATTCAACCTTAATGGTTCTATGATTTTTTCTGGCCTTGAAAATATTGCTGAGAGCTTCCACCGCTGGCCCAGGAAGAGCCCAGCTGTCCAGGGCTGCTCAGGAGGGCGATAGCAGATCCCCCCCCAACCCCCTTTTCCCTGCTGATCCCCCCATCCCTCTGGATGCACACAGGGGGTTCCCTGGGGGGCTCTGCCCAGTACCTGTGGGCACAGGCTCTCCTGCAGCTCTGCCCAGGGAGGATGCTCAGAGCAGCTGATGCTGACTGGGCACCTCGAGCTTCCTCAGAGCCAGGGCTTGCTCATCTTCCCATCCCAGTCTCTGCTCCCAGTGCAGGGGTTCTGGGGGGTTTGTAGGGGCTGCTACAGGTTTGGCTTCAGGGACTGAGCTGTGTAATCATCTCAGGCTTGGGAATTAGTGCAACGCAAGCCCAGAGTGCTCTTACTGTCCAGTTACTTAGAAACCAAACATTGATTTTTACCTGGCTGTTTTGCAGCTTCCAGGCATGTGTGTAATACATCTATACATACATCTGGAAGCTGCTAAATAGATGTAAATGTATACGAATATTCATTTTTGCTTGCATTTTTTGGAGGTGGGTGGAGGTTTTAAGAATTATTGCTGGTTTGGTGTGTTTGTTTTTCTTTTTACCTCATGGGGTTTTTCTAGGTAGGTAGAGAAGAAACAGGTCTGCAGAACTGTTGCTTTTTCTGACAAATCACTGCTCTGCTGTGGGACCAGTAATCAGGCTGCCCAGGGCAGTGGTGGAGTCCCCATCCCTGGAGGGGTTTCCAAGCCGTGGAGATGTGGTGCTGAGGGACGTGGGTTACTCAAGACCTGGCAGTGCTGGAGGAATCATTGGACTCAATGATCTTAAAGGTCTCTTCCAGCCAAAACTAATCTATGATTCTACAAAATAAGACTAAACTGTTAGGGAATGCACAGTAGCACTTCTCCAAAGAGCATTGTGCAGCAGGTGAGCTGTCTCCAGGGGTAGTGTGGAATTCCCAGTCCTGTGAACCCAGGCTCCTCTTTCCTGCCCAAAGGGTTGCAGTGATGCCTGTGAACTTTTAAAGAGTTACATTGTGCAGGTGAGGAGGGGAGGATGGGCATCATTTGTGCTATTCTGTGCATGGATGGGCTTTTGTATGCAGGGGTCCAGCTGTGCTTTCACTCAAAATAATAACCCAAAAAAGAAAAAAGGAGCAAAGAATAGAAAAGGAAAGAAAAAAGATCAGGTCAATGTTTGCCCCAACCACGTTGTGAGGCTGGAGGGCTCGTGGTGCTGGAAATGCAGCTCCAGCTTTTCAAACTGCTACCTGAGGGCTAATTCCTGTCTCAGAAAACTTTAAATTCCTTTCAGCAGCGCTGAGTTTGGGGTACAGCAGTGATGCTGGGGGGGATGGTGGGCACCCCTGGCTGAGGGCTGCTGGCTGCAGCCAGGCTGGCTCTCCTGACCTCCCTGTGGATGCCTTCGGTTGCCCTCCCACAGGGGAAACTGTGCCATAGGAGCAAATACCCAAAATGGCCCCAGAATTAAGTGTGTGAAATGAAAGAGCTGGAACAGCTGACCTGTGCTAGGGTCAGCTTTAGAAATTGCTTGGTTTTAAGTTGTCAGGAGGAGGAGAAAGTGCTGTGATTGTTTGAGTTGTGTTGCAGTGGAGGGGAGATAGATGGTCCCTAAATTATACATTGATCTGGCAAAAAAGTTGCCCAGATCCAGCTGTAATAGAAAGTTTAAAGCAGGAGGTATAATTAAAAGGGTATTTTGTACTGCAGTGATGGGCTTAACTTAGCCTAGGGGTTTAATGTATGGCACACCTCATGGCCTCAGGGCTAATTATCTTGTCTCCAGCCTGGCTCTGGGAGGTGGGAGAAAGGTGAGAACCTGATCTTGCTGAGGTTGAGAAGCAGCTGGTGTTGGGTGATCCAGGTGCTGCCTCAGGCTGGGAAATTAGGGGGAGGGTTGTCTGGGAGGAGACCAGGAGCTTGGGACGTCCAGTGGTGACCAGGCCAGGAGTCTGCTGTGATGGATGGGAGTGTTTTTTCATTCAGCTTAACACTTGTAAAATAAGTGAAGCTGAAAAAGGTGAATACTTCAATCAGTGTTAGTACAAAGAATACGGACCAGTGATGAAAGGGGAGTGTGCTTTGTTCACGGGACCCCAAATGGTGTCAGATGTGAGTTACATCTGACTAGGTTTGGGTTTATTCCCAGCTTCATCAGTGCTCAGAGCTTCTCCCACAGCCAAGTGAGGCAACGGATGATGGCAGCGCCTCCACCCTTCCCCAAACCTGCATCCCAGCTGAGGGAGAATCTGCCCCCTTCAGAGGAAAACAGATGATTTGGACAAAAACTGGGACTTGTCTTCTCCCGCTGCTGGTTTCCCGTGGGGTTAAGTTGTGTGCCCCTTGAGGACTCATCGATATTTTCCAATTCTTTTCTTTCCCTTTTAGAAACCTTGGAAAATCCGGACTGAGAGTCTCTTGCCTTGGGCTGGGTGAGTAACCTCTGCGGCTGTGACACTTGTCTCAGCCACACACTGCTCCTGTGTTTTGGTAAGAAAGGAGCTTTCTTGGGGCCCCAGCCTGTGCTCAGTCTTGCCAACAGCTCCCAGCAGGAGCCCCAGTGTGTTCTCAGCAGCTACGTGCTCCAGCTGAGGTGATGCTTTCTGCCCAGGGCACCCGAGTGCAGCTGTATGAGGGGTTGTGGCATAAAAATCCTCCTAATACAACCCCATTCCTGTGAGGAACAGCCTGCAGAGACCACACCTCAAATGTCTGAGTGCCCCCAAGACCTTTAATTGTCAGAGCTCGTGTCTCAGAGGATGACAGTCTGTGGGCAGGTTTTGTTGTATTTCACCCTGTGTGTGTACCTTGTAGTTTCTGTCCCATGCTGATTTGAAAACTAAAGAATATCTTATCAATATTTTATCTTATCAATATTTTATCACAAAGCCTCCAGCAGACATGCTGGCCCTGCAGAGATGCTGTGGTTTCTGCAAGTGTGGGTATGTTGCTGCTGACCTTCAGCTGCTGGCTGAGTGTGTGCAGTGGATGGGCTGGCTCCTGATGGCTCTACTCATGCGAGTAATTCCTTTGATGGCTGCTGAACTGCTCACATGAAGGATGCTTGAAAGTATATATCTAGTTTTAAAAAAGAACCCCAAATGCTGTAGGAAGGAGGAGGGTGTTTTTCTTTCTGCAAGCACCTTCCCGTGGTGCGGGGCTGGGGCATCGGGTGTGTGAAGCCCACAGGGATGCACAGAGACCCCAGGGATGGATGCTCTGCTCCACCCACATGCAGCTCCACGTTAAAGGGGGGGTGTCTGTGTTCCCCCCGGGGTCGGAGGTGCTGGCACATCTTTAGGAAAGCAGTCAGGTGTGCTGGGCTCCCATACTGCTGCTTCGAGGGAGAGTGGGTGAAGGCAGGAGCAGGCAAGGACCTGGGCTCTGCCTGCACTTGGTGGCTGCTGTGGCTTGGGGCCCCTCGCTCTGTTCCTGCCTGGTGCTGGGTGTACTCATGGGACAGGTGCCCCAGGACTTAGCTCCTTTTTTTTCCAGCATGCTTTGAGACTTTATTTTAAAATGGAGTGAAATGTGAAAGTCACCCTGTATCACAAGTCATATAAATAAGGCCTATTCTGCCAAGAAGAGCTCTTCTGGTTAAAATAGATCCAGGCTTTGAGAGGAGTTGTCTTCTTATCTGTACAGAGATTTTATTTATCACCCTTAGTTTCACCAAGAGCTAATGCTCTTGTGGTGAAGAAAGCAATGAGAAGGAAGCAGCAGCAGGGAGGGGGGGGAAAAAACAAAACAAAACAAAACAAAACCAAATCCACAACATTTTGCAGAGCTTTTCTTTAATTTCAAGCATGCGGAACTGCACCAGCATCTAAATATATGGAGCCTTTGTGACTGCAGCTGTGTGGGATAAGTGGGGGCTGAGGAGGGAGCAAGTGACTGCTCTGGGCAAGGGCAGGGCTGGGGGATTGCTGCTGAGCATGGATTTAGAGCTGGGCATCTCAGCCCTCAGGAGAAGCAGTGAGCCCTGAAGCTGTGGGTGCAGGAACTAGGGGAGAGGGGAAACTGGAAAGCCTGAAATTCAGTTGCTACCTTCTCTTGAATGTGCAGGTTATTCTGCAGCACAGCTTGTCCTCCTCTCCCACGCCAGGTCCATCAGGGGTCTGTTCCCCATGCCAGCTCATAGGACTTTCCTAAATAGCTTCTTTTGCAGTTCCTGAAAAGATGAATGTGCTTCCTTAAACTCTCTGCAGCATGAAAACCTAATTTGAGGTTTACGAAAGTTTCTGAAGGCTCAGCAATCTTCTTTAAAAGCCTTCCAAAAAATCTCAGCAAGGTGGGAGTGTGCTTCATTCTGCAGCAGGAAAAAGTAAGCGGAGAGAAATGTGAAGCAGGACAGAAATCAAAGGCAGGTAGTGCTGAGGCAACATGTACCCTTTAATTATGTCCTGCTTCTCCCAGCTCACTTGCTAATTAATTAATTTGCTGGGTGCTGCTTGCAGTGTGAGAAGTGTCTAGTGGGTACGCAAAGGTCAGATGTTTCAACAGCATGTTTCACCAGGGGAGAGGTTTGGGAGAGGTGGTTGAGCATTGCTCCTGGGTTTCTGAACCTCCCACCAGAGCTGGGAGCACTCAACCAGGCTGAACTCCCCCAGGACCCAGCTCCTGCAGCACCCTGGTGCTGAGCCCTGCTCCTGCCTGGGCTTTCACCTCCTCCTCCAAGCAAGGTGACACCAGGAGAGGCTTTAACTGAGGGACCTTCAGAGTCTAACCCTAGGCCAATGTACAGGCTGGAACAAGGCCCTTTCTGTGATGCTGGCTCTGAAACACGATTGTGATGCAGGGGGGAAAAAAAAATAAGGTCATGTTTTTCTTGTAGTTAATTCAGAGCAAATTCTGCCTGTGGAGGCTGCCTGTTGATTTTTAGAAAATGTTGAGACAGCCTCCAACAAGGTGATTAGCCCTGACTCCAAGGAAACGAGCAGCAGAACGAGACCAGCCAGCCAGCATCCTAAAATCTAATTCAAGGTACAAAAGAACAGAAGAAACCTTCCCAAATGAGCAGTTCTGCAGCCACCAGTGGGATGCCCGCAATTGGGTCTGAAAATAGACATTTTGTGAGCAGAAAGGGGTCGGCTGCTGCCATTGCACCTTGGTGCTTTGCTTTGGGTCTGCAAAAGCTTTTCCCTAACCCCAAACGTCTGCTGGCCCAGGAGAGTGGTGGAAGGTCTGACTTGCACCCAGGGACACGCAGTGTGCAGGGCTGAGTGCTGCTGCTTTCTCGAGTGCCAGACCAGACCCATGTGCCAGATCTCCATGTGGCACAGTCCTTGCCAGGAGCCAGCCAGGGATAAAATTGTGCTGGCAGGAGGCGAAGCTTCGGCTTCCAGCCAGAAACCCTTTTGGCAGTTTTCTTTTTTTCCTGCAGAGGTGACACATCTGCTGGCAATGACATTCTCATGTGGGTTATTTGCTGATGCAAAGTCCCCCACTAATAATCACACCTTGCAAGGCTCTGGGGTGTGATGGAAACTGAGCCAAATCTAGCCTTAATACAGAAATTCCTCTGCTTGAAGGTGAGGCTATCCAGCTGGGAAATCACTTTCCAGTGTGAAAGAACAACACGATGGGCAGGAGGCAGGAGGTCTGTCTGTCATTGCCACGCTGAGTTGTGGAGGGCAGTGCCTTTGTGAACTGGGAATTGGGATGGACAAGAGAAAACAGTGACTTGGCAAGGAGAAAAGTAACAAATTTTAAAAAATAAACCTCCCTCTAGTATATTTTTGTTCTAAAATACTCCCATTGGCTGAGGTTGTGAATCATCCTCAGCTGTGTGAAATGCCAAGAGTGCCTTGTGTTTTCTGAGTGGTATTTTAGTCAGGATTGAGCAACGGGTGCTGGGCTCTGCTACAGCCCCAGCAGCTGCCCCGGCCCCTTCGGGTGTGGGCATCCACCACCCTGCACCCTGAGTGCCCCAGGGTGGCCATGGGAGGGAGTTTTTGTGCTGCCCTCCCAGCTCTGGCTGGGACCCTTGCAGAACATCTTGCTTTCCCAGCTGCATCTGGTGCTTCAGGGACCACCTTCCTGAGCAAACACTCACCTCTCTGCCTGGGTTTTGTGATGATCAAGGGAAAAACACCCTAAGGATTCCCTACCTGACCATGCTCCATGTCCGGTGGTCCCAGACCCCTTGGATCCCCCTCGCTGGGCTCTGTGAGCCTGAGGTGGGAGATGGGCAGATCCAGGGCAGGAATATCCAGGACTGCATATATTTACTCCTTATATTTAAAGAGAAAGTGCCTGTTAATCTTAGATGAGCCATTGGGCTCTCAGGCTGCTCTGTGTGCTCAAAGGCTGAGGCATTTTTCCTCTCTGTGGAGCACGTTTCGTGTCCTGAGGTTGTAGTCATGTAAATACGAGTGAAGATATGCAGTCACAAGGGGTGTAAATAATTCCTTTGCCTCTCACCTCTGCTGAGGATCTGTGTGCACATTAAAGCAAAAAAAAAATCACTTTGGGATAAACAGGTGCAACCCATTTTTGAGTACAAATGCATTTTAATGTATTCCTATAAAAATAACACTTCTGAAGCTTTAACATGGAAATCAGGCTTCATTTGGATTTTTTTTTTTTCATGTGCATCAAGAAGCTTAATGATAAACTGAAGCCTATTTTTATCTTTATTGTGTGGGACCAGAGCATTTTCCTCCAACAATAAGAGAAGGGTGTAGTGGGGCTGGCTCTGGGCTCGGTGGGTGCTGCTGTTGCCTGATTATTGCCCTTGAGAGAGAAGAAATAAATGCAGAATTAAAGTGGGAAAAGAACACATTTCTATTTTGGAAACATTAGCTGTTGTGCATTTGATCTGTGAGAACTTGGGTTACTCTGTGGGAAATCAAGTTTCAGTTTAGATACATAATAAACATGTATCTTTATAAACAATTTTATTTGCAGTTGTCAAAGTATAAAAAAAAAACAAAAACAAAAAAAACCAACAAAACAGACTGACCTTTTTTTGCGGGAAAGGGAGTAAGATAGTCCTAAGAGACAGCTCCTCTTGTTCTGTGTTGAACCAGGGGCTGATAAAAGCAGTGGGTGGGCTCTGCTTCCTGACTCCTGCTCTCTGCTTGCTGGGAGCCAGGAGATAACCAAGACATTTTTGACGAAGATGTGGGTGCACTTAGGTACCCTACTTTGCAAGTGTGAGTGGGCAGGGAGAGTTGAGCTTTATTTCCCCCCTTAGCAGCATCAGAGCTTGACCTGTCCTCGGCAGTGTGGTCTCTTCTTTGTCTTGCCCTAATTGCACTGGATTTTCCAGCCCAAGGTCTGCACCCATCTGCCCTCCTTATGGAGGGACGATATAAGGTGGAATTTTAAATTCTGGGGAGTTTTGTGAGAGCTCTGACCCATCCATTAAATGAGTAGCGTGTAGTTTTATCCATAGCTGGTGTGTAGGTCTTAGTGCAGAGGAAAGCTGCACCGTAGATCAAAGTGACAGGGTGACAAAGGCACAGGTAATGTCACAGCCCCTCTCCTGTGTCTCAGCACTGCTTCCCGTGGGGTGCTCTGGAAGGTCAGATAAGTAGGGCAGGAGCAAGGTCTGCCAGTGTGAGTCTGTGATGTCTGAGCAGTGTCCCATATGGGACCTGGCACTTCCTCAGCTCCCTGCTGTCTCCTGCTTCCAGGAGGGAAAAACCCTCTATTCCTAATATGTATGCACACATCAGATATATACAGGAAAGAATATTCCTATAGTTTAAGAATATCCAGCTAATTCCACATGCTGTTTCTATTCCATTTTTTTAAGCAGTGGTCATGAATCACTGAATAATTTTTGTTGAGAAAGACCTTTAAGATAAAGTCCAACCATTCCCCCAGCACTGCCAGGTCCCCACTGACCCATGTCCCTCAGCACCACAACTCCATGGCTTTTAGGCACACCCAGGGATGGTGATTCAACCACTTCCCTGTGCAGGCTGTTCCAGGGCTTAACAACCCTTTCAGTGAAGGCATTGCTCCTCATGGCCAACCTAAACCTCCCCCAGTGCAGTTTGAGGCCTTCTCCTTTTGTCCTGTCACTTGGGACTTGTCACTTTTGTCTTCCTTGGGAGAAGAGCCTGACCCCCACCTGGCCCAAACCTCTTGTCAGGGAGCTGTGGAAAGCAATAAGGTCTCCTCTGAGCCTCCTGTTTTTCAGACTGAATAGTCCCAAAGGAAATAACACCTCAAGTTTTTCCTAGTAATAGACCAGAGTCTGCAAGTGAGTCTAAACTGCAGCTATGTTCAGAAAGCAGCTGCTCATCATCTCTGCTGGTGTCACACTTTGGCTTTATGGGGACGTTCCTGGGAAAAATCACTTGGAGTTTTAAACTGTTCATGTCAAGAGAAATACTGCCTTCCCCCCCACTCCCTTCTAATTTTGACTTGTATGATGCTGAAGCACAAATTTGGGAAGAGTTTCATTCCCCAAATGACATGTTTCAGCAACATCATACTTTTTTTTTTTCCCAATTTGTCAAAATGAAGCTTTGGAAAACAAACTCTGTTTTCTGAAGAGCTTCAGATTTCGGTAAAACTGTGTCTTCTGGCAGCGCAGCATCCTGCCGGTGCTTCCCTGAGGGGGTCCATGTGCCAGTCCTACGTCTGCTCACCTGGCCCTGCTGTCCCCCATATGGAAGGGGACTCTGGTGCCTGCTCCAGTTAACCCCAGTTTAATACCAAGCAGCCTGAATTTTGGTAGAGCTAATGATTTGTTGGCAAAAAAAAAATCTTGTAGTAAGGGATTATTTTGTTCTTTCTAGGGACATGGGTCACTTTTGGAGGTCAAATCTCAGATGAGGTAAGTAATGCCTGGTGTAAGTATCACGCATGAAGTAAAAACCAATATGAGATATTTTAAAATGAAACCAGGGCTACCAAAATCAGAGGAGCCTGCCTCTGTAGGAGGAGATGGCTGAGTTACAATTCAATCTTTGCACTTCTGCTACAAAAACCTTAATGAATCTGACATGCTCAGGGATCAACTTTAATAAAACCTCTTAAATCTCTTAAAGCAATCTTCTTTTTCATGCTGTTTGGGGCAATATTTCCTCCCTACCATTGGTTGTGGCACCATGCCTGGAGCAGAAATTGGGAGTTATTTTTGCATCATGTATGTAATCGGCAACAGTCGTAAGTACAGGCAGAGGCTTGGTTTACAAGATGATGATTTATTTTTTATATAATAAAATGAAACAAATGAAAATGAGCTTGGGTTTCTTGTGCCCTCTTGCCTCTGCCAGATGGCTCTTAATCTCAGTTAATAATCCTCCCGAGTGCTGGGCAGTACGTGGGTTTCCCTCTGTCTCAGGTACGCTGCAGGTGCCAGGCATCAAAGGAGAGCAACCTCCTAGCTGCCTTCCCTCTCCTGCACAACAAACCCCAAAATACCATGGGCAGAGGGAAAACAGTCCAGGAGGCTGAACTAAAAGGTTGTTTTGCTTCGTAAATCACTCAGTCTTGGGTGTTTTTTCTTTCGCTAATGGTGGATCACTGAGTTTATTCCTATTTCTTGGTGTCACAGGCTGATGCAAGATCACTTGCCTCATCCCTGGCAGTGTTCCAGGCCAGGCTGGATGGGGCTTTGAGTAATCTGGTCTTGTGGAAGGTGCCCTTGCCTGTGGTAGAAAGGTTGGAACTAGGTGATCCTTGAGGTCCATTCTAACCCAAACCATTCTATGATTTGATGATTTGTTTTGATTATAAATTTTCTCCTTGGCTCTCCTGCCCTCCTTATTTAGAGGAAGTCAAAGTGTTCATGCATGGAACAAGAGGGTTAAAACGCAACCCTGTCCTTGAGGGATGCCCACCCTAAGGACATTTGCCATAGGTGGATGCCAGCCCCCCATGGATTTGTCAGCACCCTCTGGATGCAGAATTCTTCCCCCCTCGCCCCAGGAACAGTGGGGCTGGGCTCTTGAGGTCTGATGGGAATCAAATGTAAATGCCTGAAGGTCATTTCATACTGTACGATGTCTGCTGGAGAGCTGCAGGACAGCCTGTTGGGTAGCCAAAAAACCAATTACACTCTTACGATGGAAATATCCTTTTTGTATTAAACACCAGAGATTTGCAGTGTATCTTCTCTAACTGTATTTAATTCTTGGCCGCTTTCCTATTGAGAAGTTATTATAAGAAGAGATTAATTCATCCCAAGATGAGTAGAGGGAAGCTGATGTAAATCCATGGGTTTGTGCCAGCACTTGAACTTCTGGGTGAAGGGTCTCACCCCCCCAGGCTGACACCCCTCCCAGGCCTGCTGAAACCCCTTTGCTGCACCCTCAGGGGCTTTTCCCCATGCTGGCTGCTCATGATTTGGTCTGTCACCCCTCACGTCTCCAACTCTGCTTCCCCAAGGTGGCCGAGCAGCTGATGACCATCGCCTACGAGAGTGGAGTCAACCTGTTCGACACGGCCGAGGTGTATGCAGCTGGCAAGTGAGTCCTGGGTGCCTTTGCCTGGTGTCACTGCTCCTCACCATGGAGAGGGCTCTGGTGGGGCTTGGGAAGCTCCCTTCTCTCTGAGGGGGACAGAAAAACCTTGACATGTGGGTTTGTTTTTCAAAGAGTTCTCCAAAACAACAAAAATTAAGCCAAAATCCCTCATACGTAGCTGAGAACTGGAATGTATCACCTGTGCCTCTTGCTGTGGGCACAGGGAGAAAAACATTCCTAATGAATGAGAAGTCAGTGCACATCTTAATGGTGATGAGGGGCCTGTGCCTGTGGCAGCTCCTGGTGTGGGGATGGTCTGACTGCAGCAGTGGAGCTGGTGGTGGTGGGGGAATGTCCGCACAGAATATATTTGGCTTTGGCTGCTCTGTACAGCTCTGTATTCAGTGTGCAAGATGGACTGGGACACTGCATCCCTGATGCAGGGATAATTTGCTCCCCAGAGCAGACGTGGAGCATGGGGGTGGAGGTCCCTCCCTGCGGGAGTGGGTGGGCAAGGTGCTCTGATGGAACGGACTGGTCCCGGCTGGTGCTGGGCCACTGTGCCCCATGGAGAGAAGAGCTGCAGAGCCAGGAGCAATGCTGTGGGCTGGTGGTGGTGTGGGACTGTTCTGGGGAGCTGGAGGGGAAGGCACCGAGCACCCTCCTGTCCCCTCACGTGGGTGTCTCTCTTCTGTGCAGGGCTGAGGTCATCCTGGGGAACATCCTGAAGAAGAAGGGCTGGAGGTACTGTACCAGGGACGGTGCTCCCTGCCACTTCTGGGACTTCTGGGTGTGAGAGTCATGAATTTGGGGTGGTTCAGCGTGGAGAAGAGAAGGCTCTGGGGAGACCTCACTGTGGCTTTCCATTATCTCAAGGGATCCTACAAGAAAACAGAGGGGGACTTTTTAGAGTGGTATGTAGTGACACATCAAGCGCTAATGGCTTTAAACTGATGGAAGGTAGATTTAGATTAGACATTAAGAAGAAATTCTTCCCTCTGAGAGTGGTGAGACACTGGCCCAGGTTGCCCAGGGAAGCTGTGGATGCTTCATCACTGGAGGTGTTCAAGACCAGGCTGGATGGGGCTTTGAGCAACCTACTCTAGTGGGAGGTGTCCCTGCTTGTGGCAGGGGGGTTGGAACTCGGTATCTTTAAGATCCCTTCTAACTCGGACCATTCTACAACTCTATGAATCCTTCTGGCTTTTAAGTGGCCTGTGTTAGGTGATGCTGGCCGGAGGTTGGTGAGTGCTGCTGTTCCCAGGCAGTGCCACGGCCCCGTGCCGAGCAGCCAGCCGGGGCTCCTGCAGCAGGCAGACCTTTCCAGTGCCAAATGAGAATGCTCCCCTGATCGTTTCTGGAATGCACTCTGGCTCCATGAGGCTGCAGTCATCAGCCTGCAGCGCTGCTGCAGGAGACCCTCATCTCTGGGCAGGACACAGCTCACACAACTGCTGAGTGGACGCACCACCGTTGTCTCAAGACAGATGGTTTGTGTCAGCATCCTTATCTGGGTGCATAAGACTGTATTAAGAATGCAAAGCTGTGATGGACCTTCATCTTGGGTAGCCTGGCAGGAGATGATACCTGATTTAAATGATGTGTATTAGCATACGCTGTGTATTTTTAAGAGCATTTACATAATCTTTAAAGGCCTCCCGTGTGTGTCAGCCTTCAACTGAAGTGGATTCTAGCAGGACTCTCTCCAAAATCAGTATCCCGTGTTAGGCTGATGATCACTCAAGAAGAAATATCCTGGGTACTGAGGAAGAGAAAAGTTTGGTCTAGCAAAAGCTGGAGAAATGTTTTGTTGTACACACAAGGTAGTTTGCAAAGGACAAATCTTTGATTTAATATCACATGGGAAATTATAGAACTACTCAGCAAATCGCTCTAGGAGTTTTAATAGCTCTGGGAGTACTGCATGGCAGTGAGGAACACTGGGCTGGGATCCCAGGAGGGACTGGTGCTGCAACCTTTGGTTCAGGGCTCTGGAGACTGCCTACTCCACAATTTAAAATTTATCCTTTCAATTTTGGTCACTTCACTGGAATCAGCTTCACTCCCTGCCTGCAGTGGACACGAGTAGGGGAGAAGTGATCTCTAGACTTGTTTCAAAAAGAGATTATAGGGATGTACAAATGCTTGCTGTGAGCCCAAGGCCACCACCATGGGAGGGCAGAGGACCTCTGCTTGACCACAGGCTGCATCCTGCTGCCTCACTTAGAAATTTTTTTAAACAATAATAATTTTTCTGCTCTGCTTGCAGGAGGTCCAGTCTGGTCATCACAACAAAATTGTACTGGGGTGGAAAGTAAGTCTCACAGTTACTTGTCATGGTGTTTGCTGTGTGCTTTTCCCTTTCCCAGCTGTAGAACCAGGTTGGGATTAACAGTACCTCGGGGGGGTGCTTAGAAAGGTTGGACAGTCAGGCAGCACCCAGAGCAGGGCTGTTCCCCTGCTTCATTAACCACCTGCTATTACTTGTCCCAAACGCTGCTGTCCTTGAGGCTGTGAACCCAAATGAGGTTCAGTGTCTCTCTGTTGTACCAGTTGTAAGTTCATCTTTGGAATTTTTAAGCCAGAATACAAAATTGGCACTCCCTGATTGTTGGTACCTTATATCTCTAACAGCCTTGTACCTGTTTTTTCCTTTGCAGGGCTGAAACAGAAAGAGGGCTTTCCAGAAAACACATCATTGAAGGTACGTGTTGCACGGGACAGGGGTCTGGCTGTGCCGGGGTGCCCTGGCATGGGCATAGTGGGATGCTGCCAGCCAGCCAGCCAGGCTTGTTCAGTCTGGAGAGGAGAAGGCTTTGGGGAGACCTTCTTGTGGCCTTTTAGTACTCTAGAGGAAAGCTGGGGACAGACTTTTGAGCAGGGCCTGTTGGGACAGGATAAGGGGGGATGGTTTTAAACTAAATGAGGGAGTTTTAGACTGGAGAGAAGGAAGAAATTGTTGACACTGAGGATGGCAAGACCCTGTCCTGGGTTTCCCAGAGAAGTGGTTGATGCCCCATCCCTGGAACCATTCCAGGTGAGGTTGGACAGGGATCTGAGCAACCTGCTCTAGTTGGTATTCCTGCCTGTGGCAGAGACGTTGGACCAGATGATCTTTAAGGTCCCTTCCAAACCATTCTGATTCTATGACTATTCTGACTTTTCTCAGAGTGTGAGCAGATGCCAAGAGCTTCCTCTACCCCACCTCTTTGCAGCAATGCCCTTCGGGGTTTTTTTGCTATAAGCAGCAAGACCAGTGTGTTGTCCTTGCCTGGCTGCGTGTGCAGCACTTGCAGATTCATGGCTTCTCTGCAGCAATCAGGGTTTGACATGCTGGGGTTTCACCATCCACTGCCTCGCTTGGGTCCCCAGTACCTTTGCACCCTTATCCTCAAGAAGGGCCCCAATCCCAGCTGCCATGAGATGGAAGGAAGCAGCACAGCTTGGTGGGTTGGAGCTGCTCTGCTCACAGCCCCAGGTTCCTTCCTGGTCGGTGGCAGAGGTGCCTGTGGCCATGGAGGTTCTCGTGGTGGAGCCAGGGTATGATGCCAGCCTGCAGAAAGAGCCTCTGAAAGGGTGCTGGGTCCCACCAGCTGCTCTTGGTGCTGCTGCTTCTCAGGGACCCAATTTCACTGCACATTACCTTGCTCAGCTCCTTCAGTTGGTCCCACATCCCACTGAGCGATGCTGTGCACTGCCTTATCCATCAGGATCTATCCATCCAGGTCTCTGCTGGGTCTAACACATGCTCCTCACCTGCCTTCTGACTGTTGTTTGTTGTTCTCTCGATACGTTGTTGTTGGAGAGGGAGTGGGAGCACATGCATTTTTTTGTAGGGATAAATGTGTTTCTGGCTCTTTTTGGGGCATCCTGGTGCAGTGGCCACAGGCAGAAGTCCAGCTTGCACAGGATTTGACATGTAGGACACAAGCAGAGCAGCATAAAAAGACATTTCTGTCATATTCAGGATCAGCAGTGTCAGCCAGGACCTTGTCCTAGTGAGAGGTGTCAGCCTGGGCTGGCTCTTGATGAAGGCTGGAGAGGACCCCAAACCCCCCTTGGGAGGACTATGGGGCCAACAGTGCCCCCTGTGCAGATCATAGAATTGGTTTGATTGGAAAAGACTTTTAAGATCATAGAGTCCAACTGTTAACCCAGCACTGCCAACCTGAGAGTAGTATTTTCTTTAATTATGTTTGGGTATTTATGGACTTAGAGTTTAAATAAAAAAAAAAAAAAGGATCCTTTTTGTTTTGTTGCTTCAGAAAGATATGTTTTATTATTATTATTAACCTCATGGTAAAAGTGGAAAATTATCACAGAATCATGCGTGGGTCCCAGACCTAAAGAAGCAGCCAGCAGCACAGGGGCCTGGGTCTGTCTTCTGCATCAATCCAGAGCAAAAATAGGATGGGCTGGGACAAGAGCTGCGTAAAGCCATGGAAAGGGGTAGTTACTGGGGGTGTCTGGTTCCTCGGGGGGCTGAGGATCCTTTGGGGCAGGAGGGAGCATCAGGCTTGGTACCTGTGCTTGGATCCCTGCAGAGGGATTTGCACCACCCACCTCTCGTTGCTGTTTGACCCACTTCTGTCTGCTGTGTTCCCTGGGTTACTAGGAGATGAAACGCTCCGTGCCGAGGTCCCTGCAACAGCCCAGGGCAGTGGCTCCGATGCCAGCCTGGGTGAAATCCAGGGCTGAACCCAGAGGGGCAGCACCCTCCATCAGCCACCACACCAGCAGTGGGAAGTGATTCTCTTTATGGCACTGTGGGGGCTGCAGTAATTAGCCTCCTGTTTGATTCATGAGCTAAGCCCTAATTGATTACAGCGGTGGTTGGCTAAGCTAATGTTTGCTGCCAAGACAAATTAGAAAAGGAAAAAATGAGGTTCATCTCCATTAGCGTGCCATGGTGTCCGTATCTGAGGCATGAGGGGGACCAGCCTGTTCACAGCTCACGTTGCAGACCAGGTGGGAGGTATGGTTTGGCTTTTGCTTATCGGAAGGTAGCGTCTGTCTGCAGAAGATGGGGTGTGCCCACTAGACATGGCAGCTTTAACTTGGATTTTGGCCATTTGCATGTTTTATCACCTGACTCTGCAATTGGCCCGTTTGTACAACTTCCAACAACCAGAATTTGCTCTGTATAGGTTAAAGCATAGAGGACACATTGTTCCTCTGTTTCTATTATCCACCCTCATGTGGGCTGTCACTGCCACCCTCTTCTCGCCCTGGCTGATGCTGTTCCAGGAGGGTGAGGTGGGACGAACTTGGTGAACTGGGCAGCCTCCCTGGTCATCTTCCAGCTCCAAGGAGCCATTTCTCAGCAACAAGGAGCGTCTCTGGAGCAGGGTCGATTTTTGCCTCATAGGAACCAGTTTGTGTGGCTGGGATTATCCCATGAAGTTTTCCTTATTTAGTATTTGCAGAATTCAGCTCCATTAGGATATGATTTTCTTATTAAGGTAATGCTGGCGAAAGTTTTCTAGCAATGTTTTATTGAACTTCCATTTGAATAACCTCTCTGTGAGGTGATGTCCCTGTTGCTGGTGGCATTAGACCCAGAGGTGCTCAGGGAAACTGCAGCCATGTCACAGGCAGCCCAGACCCACATATTTTCCATTTCTTGTGGACCTGCTTCATGAAATGATAGAAAAATAGTAGCAGCAGTTGAAATCACTTCACAGAACATACAGTGAATAATGTTAAGGTCAACATTAGCTATTTTCTATAAATACATTTGGTAAAATGGCCATTTTTTTTATCTCAAAATTCCGCAAACATTTTCAGACTGCTCTATTTTGGCTCATTCTTCATGAACAGTCATAAAAACATTTTGTTCCCAGGAAGAGTCATAGAAAACAAGTGTTAGAAATCCTCTTCTCACGCACACACATATATATGCATGTGTAAGTTTTTTCATATAAATGTGGAGGTACACACACATATATATCTCTCTATAGGTTTCTGATGCCACCTCCCATCAGATCCTCATAGAGAAGCAGGCAGGCCTTTTGGGAAGGCTCACCCTGGGGAGCAGGGCTTGCACAGAAAGACTCTGTGATATAATTTAGGTTAAATTAACTCTGAACAGAAGCACAGTGATGAAGTTGGTCCCTGGCAGCTACCTCCTGATGGGCTGGCCATGGACACGCTTGGTAACTGGTGCCTGGTCCAGTCCAAGGCTTGGTGTAACTAAAGAATCCAGCAAATTCTTGTGGGAGATGCAGGGAGGGACTCTGCACGTGGCCAGACTGGTGTTTTCTTCTTGACATGGCTAAGATGGGACAAGCTTGTGCAGCACCCTTCTCATATGCTCCATGGTTCTGCACAGCTCTGTTTTATACAGATGTACAGAGAGAGAGTGAGCTCTGGGTTAGCCCTGACATGGTGGTGGGAGCTGGCAGCTCTGTGCCCGGCTCTGACCGTGTGGGTTCTTGTCTCTGCTTTGCTGTTTCCAGGGCTCAAGGCTTCTCTCCAGAGGCTGCAGCTGGAGTATGTGGACGTCGTCTTTGCCAACCGGCCAGACAATAATACCCCCATGGAAGGTTAGTGGAAGGTGAATTAAAGGGTTTAATATGAGTGATCCTGGCTTATGGGCTTAGACCCATGATGGTAGGAAATGAAAAACAATTTTTTATTAAATATTCAGGTAGGGCAGCTTAAATGCGAAATACCTCATTTGGGATATCCTAGAGCCTTGTATATTTACACTTCAGCGAAATGAATTGGTATCTCTTAGAAGGAAATTGAAGTTTCCTTTATATCCCAATGGTGGCTTTAATGTTGCTTGGGGTTTTATTTCCTTTTCCCAATTCCTTCAGATAAAGTGAATTCGCTTCCATGTGAGGCAGATCATCTTTGAGTCACGTAAATCCTGTGTGCCCCTGGTGTGGCCAGCTCTAGAGAGGGGAGTGTACAAGCACTCTCAGCCCCATCCTTGTCCCTGTCCCCTGAGCTGCCCAGATACCATGTGCTTCTCCCAGTGCTAAAACCAGGGGAAACAACCAATGCATAGTCAGAAACAAGAAGCTGCTGGCAAGATTTAGGGTCCCCTGCTACAAGGGCTTGAGCCAAGTCTCTGGTGGGCTCGGGACTGTGCAAGGACACCAAAGGGTCCCCCAGGCACAGGGAGCGGCAGTGTTCTACCCAGGGCTGGGCTCAGCCTCAGTGCCACAGCCACCCAGCCCTCGGTCCTGGTGGAGAATGGTCCTGGTTCAATTCATCCTCTTAAATCCAGGGAATGAATTTAGGAACTTGCACCATGCGTGTGGCTATCTGTGCACTTTAATGTTGTTTCACAATCCCTGATAGCCACAGATGCGTGTGGTACATGGCCACATAGCTCAGTTAAGCAGGAAGTTTCATCAACATGTTTTGGGGTTAGTGCCCTATTTAGTGGGCACCAGTTCCCATCCTTCTCTTCTCCCATCGGAGTGAACACAACCATTCACACTGTGGCAGAAGATTAGCTTCACAGCTCAAGAAAAAATAGCAAGAAGAAAGACTTGCAGGCTGCAGAAGCTGTCACAGGTGAGTACGTGCAAATCAAAGAAACCTGGAGCTTGACAGGTCCCTCCGAAGCTCCTGCCTTGGGTTTCAGCAGTCGTGACACCTATTTCCTCACCGGGCACGGGGCTGGGTGCCTGGCACTGGGCGGCAGTGCCACCGCCCCAGCCAGTGCCTGCAGCTGCGGGTGTGGGGAACCAGCCGGGGGCTTTAGGAGCGGTGCAGGTTTTGCAGCAGCTGCTGAGGTCAGGGAAGACGACACGATGCCTCTCAGAGGGAGGAACGACCTCTCTGCTTGGTCAGTTGTCCCCTAACCAGGCAGCGCTGAGCGTCTTTCCCGTGCCCACCCAGCGCAGCTGATCCTGGGTGCTTGCAGCCTGGGAGATGCTGCAGACACTGCCAGCAGTGCTGGAGCTTGGCAGCTATCACCCCTGGTGCTTGGTGAGACTCGGAGCAGGGTGCAAAAAGGGACGTTTTTATTATGAATGGCATGGTGTTGGTTCCTTCTGTGTACTTCATGCTTTTTTTATGGTTCACCTACTAAGCCACTTCTATCCCAGAGCATCTGTTGGACCATCTGTCGGTTCTGCACGCTCTGGCACGCACAGTAAGTGCGGAGCTGCCTTCACAAGGCACAGGCCCTGCTCCACCTCCTTGCGTGCTTAGGCTTCTCCCACGAGCAAATAGCTGCTCCTGATGGAGACCAAATTGGTGGTAACCTTAAAAACGTTCCCTGCTCGTGCCACTCACGCCAACACGTGAGGGTCCTGCTGGAGTGTGGCTGTAGGTGGGAAGATCCAACGGAATGAATGGAAGGATAAATGGGAACACTCGTTTTGCTCTCTGCACTTCCTGCATGCAGGCAGACGAGGTTTCTCTGCCAGCGCTCGGGGTCCTCCATCTGCTGGGATGTGTCTGTGGGTGTCAGCAGGCGATGGAGCAGCCCTGTAGAAATGCTCATCTGGTCCATCCCAGCAAGGGCAGAACTTGCTTCCCTGCTCCCCCAGGCTGCTCCCAGCCCAGGCTGCCTTAGGAGGTGTGGGCAATGGAGAGCTACTGGGAGAGGAGGAGCATTTAATATAGGTTTCTTTGTTGTAGGTGACTCTGGTCCCCAAAGCAGCAGGCAAAGCTGCAGTGTACCTTTCTTAAGTCTCAGAGCAAATTCAAAAAGCTTTTCATTGTCAAATCACCACAGTATTAGCTCTAAGAAACATCTGGAGAGGAGTACCTTGCGCAGAGTTCTCTGTATGACCCTGGGGTCTGGGCTGGCCATGTCCTTCACAAGGGGCTCTCCATCCTCACTGGGTCTGGCTGCCCATGGAGAGCTCCTGCCCTCAGTTCCCCAGGCAGTTCTGCAACCATGCAGCTCCCCCAGGCAGGGACCTCAGGAGGTGGGTGATGGGAAGGATCTGTGCTTCTCCCCTGAGCTTCTGTGGGCCTCACAGCTCACTACTCAGGTTGGAGATCTGACCCCTCAACTGCACCAACAGATGCTTTGCGTCATCTCAGCAGACGAGTGGGGCAGCTCCTGCTGTGATGGAGGGTCCCTGGGGTCTCCTGGTAGGACCCTCCTATTGTCACAGTGCTGGGGGGACCGGTGCCTGCTACACAGCCAGCCTATAGCTCTGGCAAGCAGGAAAGGAAGGTGGCATGGTTCCTATAAGGGAACTTCAAGCTACTTCAAAATTATTATTATGCTGCTGTTTTCTGGGTTTTGAAACATTCCTTTATACTAAAAAAAAAAAACCTCCCCTTCTTAAGCAATGCCATTCATGGCATCCAGCTGGCAGACTGAGCAGTCCAGCATGTGCTCGTCACAAACCATCCCACTGCCTTACCCATGGGAGCAGGCTCTGGTAAACAACAGACAGGTAGCTCTATTTCCTGAGCTGACTTCAGTTTTTCCTGAAAGGAGGAGAGGTGGGAGAGATGAAAACAGCCATGGCCTGAAATGCGTAAGAGGCATATGATGAAATGTTTATCAAAATTCCTAAATGGTAGTGTGACAAAAATAGACACCAAAAGGCAGTGAGAAGCTGCTGTGGAGGGATTGCTGTGCAGCTGCCCATCACACTCAGCACGCCTGCAGGCACCAGGGTGGCTGCTTGGGAACGAGGTGTTTTGTTGGATTAGTATGTGCCTGAGAATAAAATGCTTAGAAATAGAGAAAAGTGTGGCTTGGGCCAAAATGAAGAAGAAATTTAAAAAAACCCAAACCAAACAATATTTGGCATTTTAACTCTGTTTGTCATTGGGGGAAATTCCTCTCAAGGGACACATTGCATGAAGAGTTAATCTCCCTTTCCAGTGGGAAGGCAGAAGCCTGGTGCGGGAGTCATGGGGTCTCTTATGCAGCCCTCCGAGGTTATAAATGGAGACTTCATCCACGTTAGCTGCTTGTCGCTGCCTGCAGGAGAAATCTCACAACAATGTCAAGATTGGCAGCGTAATCTCCCTTCTGCCCAACTCTCTTTTCTTTTCTATAGAAGGGATGAGAATTCTCATGATATAAAAGCTCCTCTTGATCTTGAGACAGTGATGCTTGGAATCCTTGTCCAAGTAGCAGCAGACAGGCCAAGGGATGAGCCAGGCTGGGCTGCCCTGTGCAGCCCTGCATCCCGATGGACACAATTCACCATGGCTTGGTGGGGCAGGAACCCAGCGTAGCTGCAGGTCACCAGTCCCTTGGTGCTTTCCCGAGGGAAGAGCACATGGAGCTGTGGCAGCAGCTGCTGCCTGCGAGGTGTCTCGTGCAGCTCTGGCAGAGGAGACTAAATACTAGTTTCTTCTGCGTGTCAGAATGAGTTTGGCCCTTTCTTGTCCATGCAAATGATGTGCTGTTCGTGGCCAGTGTGGTACCAGAGCCTGGCAGCTGCTGCTCGGCTCCGAAGGGCTGGGAATGCTGAAGCTCAGTAAGAAGTATGAATTTATTATTGCAGACAGGGCAGTTATTTAGGCTTTAAAATGAGTTGCAAACAGCAAGAAGTGACGATTTCCTTTATAGCATTAGCAAGGTATCCTACCAGACTCCGTAACCTCCTAGGCAAACCTGAGGGATAGGCAATTTTTACTCCTTTTCTTGCAAACTAGCATCTATGATGGGTTTCCCCCCCCTCCACAAGAAGGCAGGACTGCTCAGCAGAGGCCTGATGGATGGAAATTAAAGATCCTGCCTTGTTGTGTGTAGACTTGCAGGCTTCCAGCTTCCCAAAGCATGGGACTGCTGCGGTAAGGAGCTGGGGTGGGTTTTGCAGAGGTGCTGCCTGCTCCTCCCCCAAAGCTCGGTTCAATCATCCACTTCTGCAGCTTCCTCCCCAGCATCCTGGTATACCTAGTAAAAAAGCAGGACCAGATTATATGCTCTTCGTACGCAAATTTTAAAATATATTTCTCTTTTATTTTCTTTTTCAATTATGCTGCCCTCTTGTGATCACTTTTAGAAGAAATACTATCGTAAGGTGGTGGGAGGCCACAGACATGTGGTGAAAGGCAGTTTTCAAACAACTGCAGGATGAAGTGTGTTATGTTTGCACTGTCAGCATTTTGTCATCCAGCAAGAGAACACAGCAGAAGCTTCCCAGGCTTGTCGGAGTACTTGGGATTTTTAAGTGGCTTTAGGAAGATTTGGTGCTGAAAAATTTACCTCTCTGCAGTTCCCATATGACTTTTTTTTCCCCACCTCCTTTAGAAATTGTCCGAGCGATGACCCATGTAATAAACCAAGGGATGGCGATGTACTGGGGGACGTCACGCTGGAGCGCCATGGAGATCATGGTAAACCTTTGGGGAAGCGTCGACACTTGGTCATTCTCCACCCCAGCTGTGGAGTCTGCTGGGGGCACTGGCTGCAGATGTCCCCCCTCACTGCAGGGGGTAGGTGACCTTGAAGGGTCACTTCCAACCACAAGTATTCTGCGATTCCAGGCGATGCCGGGATCATCCTGCAGGTTCCCGCTTCTTGCAGGGGGCTCAAAACCCAACAAAGAAGCTGGGCCCCCAGCTCAGCTGGTCAGCTCTTGGTATGCTCCAGGAGTGTGGGCTGGTAGGTTATGTCCCACAAGATGCTTTTATTTAATGAAGTATTTTATCTCCTGATTTCTCTTCTCCAGGAAGCCTACTCTGTAGCCAGGCAGTTTAATATGATACCGCCTGTGTGTGAACAAGCTGAATATCATCTCTTCCAAAGAGAGAAAGTAGAGGTTCAGCTGCCAGAATTATACCATAAAATAGGTAAGAGTGAGACTGATGTGCCTCTCAGCTATTTCATTTGCAGAGACAAATACAGAGCTGGCCAGCCTAGGGCTCTGGATGGCAGCAATGCTCTCCTTCCCCAGGTCTGAACAGGACAGGGAAGCATCTATCTAATGACCTAAGAAAAAACAGACTGTTGTGCCCCTGGTGAAGTAGGTGTTAATTGCCATGGCTGCTGCTTACCTTTTGAGGCTCACATGGACTGTGCAGGTGCCGCCTCTCCCCTGCATCAGAAGACACTGATGTCTCCTTGTGCATCTCCTGAACTGAACGGTGCTGCCAGTGGCAATAGAAGCAAGCAGCCATTGTTTTGCTTTTCTTGTTTTTACTTCAAGTCCTGTTTTTGATGCAACCCTGATTTCTCTCCATCCCCTAAAATCTTCTGTTTTCTCTGCAGGGGTCGGAGCCATGACATGGTCTCCACTAGCCTGTGGGATCATCTCAGGGAAATATGGCAACGGGGTCCCTGAAAGCTCAAGGGCTGCATTAAAGGTATCTTTTTGTTGTGTGTTTGAGAGCAGCAGATGTGCTGCTTTTGTGAGAGCAGGGAAACAACGAGGGGAAAAGAGATCCTTCGTGAGAAGGCTGGCCTGAGTGATGCTGTACTGATAGGTCAGCTCGGCTTCTCTGGAAACCATGCTCCCAAGTGCAGGAGAATTTGGGTTCTGAAGGTGCTTGTGTTCCCCTCATCAGTGAGCACGTCCCGGAGCGTCATGCTACTCTGCCTTTGTCTCCTCCTGGCTTGCATGTGGCTTTTAAGAGCTGTTTATAATTGCCTCAAACTATCTGCTTTGGAAGATTAAAGCCAATGTAATCCATCTCCAGTGCTACCAGTGGCTGAAGGAGAAGATCATCAGCGAGGAAGGCAGAAAGCAGCAGGTGAAGCTGAAGGACCTGTCGCCCATTGCCGAGCGCCTCGGGTGCACGCTCCCGCAGCTGGCTGTCGGTGGGTGACTGGATGGGGACTGGAGCTGGGAGGCTTGTTGAGAGACAAGGGCAAGCAACATCTTGTAGAACCCCCTGAAGCTACAGGGACTCCATTTGTGCTCCCATGGTTTAAGTATCAGTGATGGTAAATGCTAGCGTGGAAAAAGATGTGTCCCCTTTCAAATAGGTCAAAGGATGGCTTTGCTTTTGCAGTATCCGTAGATGATTCAAAACACTAAAATCATTATTTGCTCCCAGGAACACGGGAAGACTGAAGATGGGCAATGCGACACCTCGTTAGGAGAAGGCTAAGGCATGCCAAGAAGTGCAGTAAAAGAATAAAACAAACCAGGATGTTAAAATGCCCCAGATTGCTTTTGGGGGTGACCCCTGGTCTGTTAGCCTCACACACATACACAAAATCTGTTTTTTTTTTTTTTTTTGGTTTGTTTGGTTGGTTGGTTGGTTTTTTTTTTTTTTTTTTTTTTTTTTTGTTTGTTTGTTTTTTTTTTAGCAGTAGAGTTAGAAATTAGTTTGTTTCTGTCATTATCAGGCTTTGACTGAGCAGAGGGCTGGTGTATCTCAGGCTGTTCTCAGGAGTCCAACCCAGACCTGTTGGTTGGACTCCTGAGGAAAAACAAAAATTCTTCGAGCTGCGGAGAGCCAAGGCTGAAAAACACCACCCGTGTCCATTAGAAGAATGATCCCTTGTTCAAAGAGCCAAGGGGTGAATCCTTGTGATTCATGATGAGGGAAAACCCAAACTCCTCAGCTAGGACAATGGCTAGGCTAGGGGCCAGCACCAGTCAGGGTGCTGAAAGTTCTGCTCCTGTGTTTTACCTGAGGTTAAGACAAATAACGTTGTCATTATTTTTCAAATAGAGGTAGAAGCTCTGATAGACCTTAGTGCCTGGAGTAACGTGTGTCATGAAGCTTATGTTCCTGACTGTCTTGTGACTTTATTCCCAGCATGGTGCCTGAGAAATGAGGGAGTGAGCTCTGTCCTTCTAGGATCTTCCAACCCAGAGCAGCTGATAGAGAACCTCGGAGCCATACAGGCAAGTGCAGGTGGTGGTGGCAGCACCTCAGCTGAGGTGGGGGGCCAGCTACTGCCTATCACCATACCTTGAGACCAATGCCCTCCTCTTCATATAGTTTTAATACTTTGTATTTTAAGGCATCTTCTAGTTAGACATGTTAATGAGGCAAACTGATGGTTTTCCTTTAAGAGAGAAAGGTATTAGATGAATGTTTAAACATGTCACCAAAAAAAAACCCACAGGAGATATTATTTAATAAAATCTAGATTAAATCTGGAAAAACCTTTTAATGGAAGCTCGATTAAACATTGCTTTTCTTCTACCCTTAGGTCCTTCCAAAGATGACATCCCATATCGTAAATGAAATAGATAATATTTTGGGAAATAAGCCCTACAGCAAGAAGGACTACAGATCCTAGTGCGATGCATGAATTCCCTGGACTGCATGGTTTAAAAAGTGCTCTGTGCAGAATTGCAGCCCCGAGTTAATCTCTGGTCATGAGAATCATTCAGCAGCCTGCTGCTCGGTGTCTACTGTCACTGGATCCTTCGAGATGTGTGCTGTTGCTACTAATCTGCAGTGAAATTTAAAAGCACAGTTGATCTCTCTTCTAACCAAGAATAATCTTGTATTTTCTTACCTTCGACTGAATCCATTAATTTTTACTTTACTCTTAGCACCTCATGCTTGTGCTGTGAAAAACACTTGTAAAGCAAAAAATTTATAATCTTCAGGTACTTGGTAATTAAAGAAGGATGTACAGATCTATTTTTTCAATGAAGAAAAGCCAGATACAACTTAAGATTTTAATAAAACCACATTTGGGAAATCTCAGCTATGAAGTTTCTTCAGGTTAACAGATAGAACAGGCAAGCTCAAATCCTCATTTTTTTTTAATGCTGAATATATGCTTTAGATTGTGTTTGTAGATGAAAAAAGGATGTAAGGCAGAGAATTAGTTAGAAATTAGATAGCTCAACTCCTAACTATATGATTATTTCAGCTGCAGAGTGCTCCTGGGAAGTATTTGAGTACCAGCCAGAAGAGCACAGTTAGAAAACCCAACCGTGCATGTCAGGCTCATAAAAAGAGGGGCTGTTTGCAGAATTCTAATTCTATGTAAACCTTCACCCAGGAAATCTATGATAAAATATTGGGGTTTGCACCTACAGAATCCTGCCTCTCTTTCTGCCTGCTTGTTGACAGAGCTATTGCAAATTTCAATATTCACGAGCTTTTAAGGATATATAGATACTTATAAATGTATATAATACATAGCTGCTGAAAGAAATGCCAGAAAAAATCAGGTATGTACTTTGGTGGAAGGTCATGTTTGCTTTAACTTGTTCTGGAATTGGGCGTTAGTAAACGTGTAGTATTTTTAAGACACGTTTTACACAAGTAGGAGGTTTTGTGAGCATTTCATCCCTCCGTAGGAGTTGATAGTAAGCCCTTCTATATTGATTTGCCCATCTTAAGACCCACGTCATGTTTTACCATGGGTTTGCTTTGTAAAATGACTTCAGTATTTCTCATTCGTATTGAACCGCGTGTTTTGGGGGTACTTCCGAGGGGGTACAGCTGTGTACGGTATTTGTAGGACCCTTGTATTCTAGTCCCTGTGACTCCAGGATGTCTGCAGATTGTGTTCAGCCTTCACATGGGCCACGTGGACAGATCCTAATACTTGTCTTCTCCTGTATTTACTCCTCTGACGAGCTGTGGTCTGTGTAAATGAACTTGGCTGCTGTACACCCAGAAACACAGTCTGACCTTGACTTCTGCTTAGACACAATAAAAGCGTTTTGTGCATCTAATTTTAGAGTTGGAGACCCGTTACTAAGGGCGAGGACGATTTTTTTTTTTTTTTTTTTTTTTTTTTTTTTTTTTTTTTTGAGGCAGAAGCAGTTGGTTGCCGTTGAAAATGGGCGTGTATCGTTCCCCAGGGAAATGCTGACCTTCAGCTGTGCCCACGCCAAGGGAGAAGGACCTGGGGCTGGAGGAGTGGGGACCGAGGGGCCGGGCTGGGCTGGCCATGCATCTCGGAAAAGGTACTTGTCTGCCTTGGAGGCGTAACTTCTACATCAGCTGTATACAATACTTTTAAATCTGCTTCACAGGCAGCAAAAAGGCTTGGACCATTATCCTGCTAGCAGCTTTATTTTACCAGTAGGATTATCTTCCCAATGGCAGATTAGCTCTTGATGTCAGGTGGTACATCTTAATGTTCTCTCTTCCCCATCTCATATAAATGGGAAGGCAACAACATATTAAAAATATATTGGACTGGGGGCGTTAGGTTGGCCCTGAGGAATAATTTCTTCCCTGCCAGGGTGGTTGTCCAGGGCTGTGCCAGGCTGCCCAGGGCAGTGGTGGAGTCCCCACCCCTGGAGGAGTTTCCAAGCTGTGGAGATGTGGTGCAGAGGGACATGGGTCAGTGGGGACCTGGCACTGCCGGGGAACAGTTGGACTCTATGATGTTGAAGTTCTTTTCCCATCCCAATCATTCCATGATTCTAGGATGTAATTTGTAAAAATGATAGACAAAAGGAAGTAAAATTACAGAAGCGATACAGAAAGGCTCCATTCAAGAGCAAATAAGCAGGTAGAAGGAGGAAAAATCCACATGTTTTGAGGTAAAACAAGATCATGTGAAAATCGTTAAATGACTGCTAAAAAAATAATTTCTATGGCAGCTCTAAAGTGCACCAAACCCACAGGAATTCGGATAATGTAAGCACATGAATAGCATCTCTTTTACTGGGAAGCAAAGTGAGTACATCAGAGTGGGGAGCTGAGACTGATGGTCCTCGCCCCACCCCAGCCCCAAAGGATGCTGTTTTGCCAATGACCAGGCCCAACAAAAATGATAGCACCAGCAGGAAGATGAACCAATACACAGACTGTATTGTAGACAAGAAGGACATTCCATGAATGATCACTGGGGGTACAAACAGATCAATCAGCTGGTACATAATTGACACTACCCCCAACGATCCCACAAAAGATGGGACTCGGCCCACAACAGGTGGTACAAACAGAGACCCGAGGTTGCCCACAGTTGGCATGGGAAACAGCCAGACCAGCAAGCTGAACACATAAGAGAAAGGTGCCCACATAGTGACTCTCACCCGATGGACATGCGTTCGCAAAGGTCTAAACAGACTGGGGCCCACCTCCAGGGAGAGTCAGGAGGTCTGCCCTGAACCAGGAAGCTCTGGGGAGTGCACTCCACAGACAGACACTCCTGACTCCCTGCAAGTGGTCCCAGCTTTTATCCCCAAGCAGACACCTGACCTTTGTCAACTCAATGCGGGACCCCTGGGGCTCATTTCCCTTATGGCTCTCCCTGCAGGGCCGGCTGCACCCTGGGGGGAAGCTATAAGGCAAACTCACCACCTCTTTATGAAGGGCTGTGGGAATCACCCATATGTCAACCTTAATTCGGGGCTCGGGGTTCAAACCCCAGCATTTCAGATGCTGAGAAGTAGCACAATAATTAGCAGGCATTGGGTAATCAGGTAAGAGTTGAGATGGGCCTGGCTGATTTGCCAGAAAGCAACATGACAAATTTTGTACTCCAAGGAAAGCCAGATACATGGTCCCCTGCACTTCAGAATCTTCACTTGACTGCACTTCACCTAAATATGAATGTTACTAGGGTAGATTAGCTAAGTAACTGTTAATTTAATCTGATTACAGCCATCTCTTTCTTCCCCGCTCTGGATTTCCAGTCTGTAATGGCAAAATCTGTAACTTCTATAGTAGGAGTCCATTAATAGTAGTAGAGTTTAGCTTTTAACATAACCACAGCCTCACTGACAGCATAAGAAAGCCAAAAGCATTGGCTGAAAACCCGCTATAAAAACTCATTATAAACATAGCATAAAAAAAGGGCATTTTTGTTAAGCTGTGCCACAAGTGCCAGGGGTTTGGGTTGCGGTTTTTTTTTTGTTGTTGTTGTTTTTTTTTTTTTTGGTTTGGTTTGGTTTGTTTGGGTTTTTTTGGTTTTTTTTGTATTTACAACTTTAGAGATCAACGATAAAAAACATTTAAACATTTGAACCTCTTCAAAAGTATTTTTCTGAATACTTTAGTATTTTACTTAAATTTAGATTTTGTCTTGACTCCAAGTTACTTAAAAATGAGGATCATTTCCGATGAAATCAGTACATATGCTGATTTGTAGGAGACCTCTCTTCTGGAAGCAGAGCTGACAAACCTATACACACTGCTTACCCATGAAAATATAATTTTGAAGATTAAGAATGGAAAATGAGGACTTAAATGACAAAAAGCCTCCTTTTTATTAAAATTTTTCAAGTTACAATGGTAAATGGTGGATTGTCACTTTTATAGGCAGCAAGTCTGGCGCAGTCACCAAACTGCCCAGGGAATCCTGTTCCAGGTGTGAAATCCAGCTGTTTGTGCTGCTGTTGCTCATGTGGCCTTGCCCAGGAATCTGCAGCACCATCACCCTACGTGGTGCTTCAGAAACGTTACGTGTGGTAACTGTTCCTCACACACCATCTCATTGCTGAGTTAAAAAACCTATTTCAGTTATTGAATAATAGCATGTAAAGACACCAGAAGTAAATACAATTCAAATAATTTTGGATTGAAACCCTCCCCCCTACACCCTCAAGCAGGCATGCTACAAAAAAGGTATTCCTGTTCCACCCTTAAACTTTTCTATGGCAGCTGAACCCTCTCAGAGAAACAAATTGCTGTGGGATTTTTTTTATCTACTTGGATCCTGTAGACAGCAGAGCAATCAGTCCAGATGAAGCACTTATAGAAAGAATGTAGTGTCGGTAGTGAAAAGGTTAAGGATATATACTTGTTCTGTACAAAACCAGCAGTATCTTTCCATTTAGTAGAAGTTTTATGAAAAACACTGGATCGAAATGGTCTTTCTCTAGGAGTTTTCAAATGGCAACATCATAACCTTAAACACAGCTCACAATCGGGATGTTGAAATGTCTTCATTTTGAAGTTAAGGACAGTCAAAGTTCAGCCTGTTCTCTTAAAAGCATTTATAAATACTGTTAAGTCCCACAGAGCTTTAATTAACAACTGTGACATTGACTGGCAGTAGGTAAGTAACAAAATTTTCCTTGTGAAAGTTAAAGAAAACAATCCTGGAAGGTAAAAGTGCCCAGCAACTCACACTGACACGGGGTAAGAGCACGAGCTGCCTCCTTAGTCCACAACTGCAAAAGAATTTCTGTGTATTTTTCAAGGGATATCCCTAAAACACCTCATGTTGGACACAAAACATTTACCTGTTTGGGACTTTTTTCTTTTGTAATCTCTATTTTTAGATTGAAGTGTTTCTAAACTGAGGTAGCACGATGAACTGCACCTATCAATGAAGTCATCTCACAACCCACGTGAGAAACAGAACTATGAATGACAACAAAGAGGAGTAGGACCCTGGTTTTTCTACATGTAGTAGTAAAGGATACACAGTGGGGTTGAAGTTCTTCAGCACAAAAAAAGAAGCAATGATGACCAAGACCAGAAAGAGAGTATTGTTGTAGAAGATGGAAAAAGTTGTCGCTTCATAGTCTGCAACTTCATTTTTCTTCCACAGAATTCTAGGAACAAGGAGAAATGTTGTTTCAGGCATATTTAAATCAGTGTATGTAACAGTGGGTGTGCCACGACAAAGCGATGGGCACCCAGCGTAGTAAATCATATACGAAGCTGCTGAAAAGACAGAAACCAAGAAAAGAAACCAAGAACCACCCTTCAACTCATTAAAACCAACACATATTGCACACCAGGAAGAGTTAATTTCCTGACAGAGTGGTGAGGCATTGGACCAGGCTGCCCAGGGAGGTGGGGGAGTCACCAACCGTGGGGGGGTTCAAAAACCATGCAGATGTGGCACTTGGGAACATGATTTAGTAGTCAAGGTAGTGTTAGGTTAATGGTTTTACTTCATGATCTTAGAAGTCTTTTCCAACCTTAATATTCTACAACCATTACCTTTCATCCTTCTCCTTACGAGACATCTTCCTGTTGTCTGCCTCAGACAGCTTGCGAGTCACTTCTTTGGAAACGGCATCTTCTCTCTTCTGTGCTACTCTGTGAAGAACACCGTTTATGTTGAGAAATTAAAATAAAACACCCCAGGGTTATAAGAAGTTACATTTACAGTGATGAATAAAACCCATCAAGACATCAAACAGATTTGCCAAACTGAAGGGACAATAAATAATGATCAAATTATTAGTCAAATATAGTCTGTGGCAACCCCCACTGAGGATGAAGGTAGTTTTGCTGTCTTATTATACTCTCAGCTGATGAGGCTAGTTTGTCCCATAATTACAAGAGGGATGACAGAAACCACACAGGAGATACTTCTGTATAAAATAGTTTTTGGAGTAACATTTCAGATACTCATAAATTGTTTAAATAACTTAACAAAAGTAGAATTTACATCAAACAGCCACCAAACTTACTTGTGTTTGAGAACAAACTTGACATTCTTATAGGCAAAAGCTACAAGATAGGTACTGATAAGAGTCATGACGCTGTACAGGACTGCGGACTGAACGAGATCCATGTGCCATATCCTCCAGTAAAGCCCTTAAAAGAACAACAACAAGAAGACATTTGGAGTGGTTTCTTTCTCCAAGAAAAGTGCCCCCCGAAGAGTCCGATGCAGCCGACTACCTCTGGAATTCGGCAGTGGTTCTGCCGGACCAAACCAGCTTCTGCTAAATCACTTTTGGGAGGACTTCGAGCTGCACTAAAAAACGCTTTAATGGAGAGGAACGCGCCCCGCCTGGGGCTGAAAGGTGTCGTGCGAGCGCCCGCGAAGCCGCC